CCCCAGGCCCGTTCCCCGTCAGGATAGGTCTGAGTCCTTTCCCAATCTCCCAGGGCCCACGTCTCCTTCCCCAGACCCGCGTCACCGCCGGGAGGACTTGGCTGCCCTTTCCTCAGGTCAGCCCTGGGGTCGCCCCCCAAGAGCTGCCCCGCACCCACAGGGACGTCTTGCCTCGCGGGTGACCCGCTTGTGTGCGCTTTTTCACCCCCTAGATTAGGGGACGCGGCCTGCCCTGCGTCTCCCCGTGGCCCCAGGGCCACCGCGCAGTGCCCCCTCCCCCACCCCGAGTTCTCGGGCCCAGCACCTCGTACGGGAGGCCGAGGACCAAGAGCGCTGGAGGCAGTTGTTGCCGTTTGGAGGTGTACCCTTTGTCATGTAATTCTCTTAGTTTACCTCCCCTCACGCCCAAATCTTTCAGGACGCCGTAGAACGGTCCCATTTGGTCCCTGTTAGTTGGAAAGCATCTGGTGGCTTAAATTTCTGACTCATGATTGTTGCTGGCGTCTGTAAACAAACCGGCACTAGCGCTATCACATTCCGGGATTTCCCCCCTGCTCTGTGGCCTATTGAGAGGTTTGGCTATGGGTTTGCTTTGAAAAGATTCAGATTTTCCTTTTAAATGACTTAAACGTTTTAGTGGAGCTGGGAGCTTACTTGCCTGGTTCATTTTATTACTATATGTAGGTTATTTATTCAACAGTCAGATAAATTACTGTGGTTTTAAGTAGTTCTGAAGCGGTCTAAAAAAAATTAATGCATATATTATGTTTAATAGAGACATCTTTGCCATTTAAACTTCAGCTTTTCTCAGTCCAGTGAATCTACAGACCTAATTTCTCAGGAGCACAGCTTGGCCTTACTTCAGCAATAAAGGAGAAAAGGTGAGTTGGGGGTGAAGGTATTTAAATTTCTTGAGTCCAAGACAGACCCTACCCTGATACCCAAGTGCTGACCACTACACTCATACAATTCCTACCACAATTTCCCAAAGAGTTGGGGTATTGTTCTTGGCTCTGTTCCAGCTCTGGTTAAATTACTTTTACAAGTTTAACTGGCCATAGGCTACTTGTCTTTCTGTCCTGAACTAACTGTGGGTCTTCAAATGACCCCAGTTAAGCCTAGAAGTGAGTGTGTCTCCCTCTTTATTCATTTGCGTTGTGTTTTTGCCTCTGTGTGGATCATGTTTCTTCTATTGTTAAAAGCTGGGAATTAGTATGCCTCAGTTCTGTTCAGCCTTTATGGAATCAAGTCTCTTCCCCTCTCAGGCCTTTGGGGTTTCGTTCCTTGCTGTGTAGAGGAGACTATTTAGCTGCTTGTCACTAAAAGCTGGGGCGTAATGAGTGATGCTGCCTTTAGCTGGTGTCTGAGTTCAATCCAGCTCAGAATTCTAGCGTTTCAGGACATGGGGGTACATCTTGGGTAAAAAAATTAGTGGCTGCTGTTTCATAGCTGGTCTGAAGATTTGTTGGTAAGCAGAGGAGTCATCCTGTGCATTCACACAGCCTGGCCCAGTGCCAAAGAGGGAGTCAGAACATACTTGCAAATGTCATTTTTTAAGACCCTTGGGTTTCTGGTAGTGGATACTAGTGCTCTGGTTGAGGTTCATGGTATGTGACAGATGAGCTGAGTGACTCTGGAAGGTAGGCCTGGCTAATTTCTTCACATCTTTATGATTTGTAGGAGGAAACGGTTGAGTGTGACATTGGTGAATTTTACTCCATTCGGTGTCCTGAAAAGAAAATGATCATTATAAATTAGACTGTTATTACTGACAGCCTGTATGTGTACCAGTAAGATATAAAAGGAAAAGTACAGGTTTTAGAGCTGGGTCTTGGTTTAAATACTGTTCTAAGTTTATTAGCCATGTGACCTTGGGCAAGTTACTTAAACTTCTCTGACTTAATTTCCATAACTCTAAAAGCAGGATAATACCACTTATCCAAGGGTCATTGTATCATAAGTGAAACCTTTATAAAGCTCTTATATTATGCCTAGCCCATGATAGATGCTAAAAAATATTTTCTATTTTTTTACACATCATTGATAACAACTTTGCTAATAAGTTATATATTAGTTTGCACTCTTTGCATTTCGCTTTTGAACATGTTCTCTTGGTTATTTTTCACATGCATTTTTAAGTGGTCAGTTAGATGTGTGCTTTTGTAAGTGCCCACCTAGGGTTGTCTTCTAAACATGATTCAGGTCAGTCTGGTGGGGGTTCAAGGCCAGAGGACAGTGGGAATAATAAATGTCGGTATATGTATACTTCTAAATACATTCTTAAATTAAACATCCCTACATTTCCTTTGTTCATTGCTTCTCTCCTTTTGGTCTGTTAGTGCACCTGATCAGAGTTGACGAAGTATTGTAATTCCGTTCCTGCTGCAATGTTGTCTACCACCTCTGCTCCAGCTACCCTACCCCTTAACGCCTTGTCCTTGTTGTCATGGAGGGAATGCATTATTTCTAAGCTGTTGGACTCTGTAGTGATCCTTATCAATAGATTGCCAAAGAACTAGACCAGTTGATGGTCTCCTTTCTTTCTGAAGTGAATATTCAATCCTTCAATCTAGGGACTTGGGAATACAGAGTATGTTTATTTCGTCTTCCCAGCCAGACTATTTTAATAATATGATATCACAGATGAAAAGTTTTTACCATTCTCTTGTTGGCTTTTCATCCACATCTCTTTAGGGGAGGTAAAAGCACATGAAAATTAAAGAAAGCATTGCAACAAAAGCATTGCAACAAAAAGCAGACTGTTCAAGGCAGTGATCAACTTAAAATTGATTTGAGTTACTTACCACCATCCAGGGGCTTAATTCTCTCTATTTAAAGTTAAAGACTCTTGAAGTGGCTGAGACCGCATTGAATCATTTGTTTTTTAATGAGATCTGGAAGTCTCTTGGGCAAGAGGGGTGGGGGAAGGGGGAAAGAATGGGAGGAGAAAAGGAAATATGTTGAAAGAAGCCGAACTTTGTTCTTTGTCTTACTATGCTGGGTAAGAATCCCACCCTGCCTCCAGGGTTTCATACCAGGTTTATGCTCCAAGTGACATCTGTGTATACAGTGAATCAATATTTTTAGAGTGGACCACAACTATGAAATTATTAGTTTTCTGAAGATAATTTAGATTTCAGGATGTTGCATAAGAATTGTCGCATCTTACTAGGAAGTATTTCCTAGCATGGCTGAAAGTGGGAAGCTAGGTATGCTTATTGACCTTAGTTGTGACCCACCACCAAGCTGACAGGGTATTTTATACAGCAGTCTATTAAATGTATAAGAATCCATTCCCATGCTATAATCTTTCATTTTGACTAGGATCATTCTAAGACAGAAGCTTGTCCTCAGAGAAAGCTAAAAAGAAAGCAGCCTTTTTGCTGTCAGTTTCAAACAATACTGACGTTCCAAAAAACAAACAGACTCTAGTAGAAGACATTCTGTAGGAGTGCGCCTGGCTGTGGGAGAGAGATCCTTAGAGTTTCATTCTCTAGGTCCTGTGTTCTTGAGTTACAGGCTTTTAAAGTCATGAAATGACTAGTTAAACTTTGTTTTCAGTAGATATTTATTTGTGGATTGTTTCTACTCTAGAAAAGTTGTTCTAAACATGTCTCGGAAATGTCCACATTAAAAAAGACAGAGTTGCCTAAACAGAGCTTTTTATTGCATAACATTGGTGTTAGAATTTGTTTTTAAGATTGAATTAGCCCTCCCCCCCCAAAAAAAGACAGATAATCAGTGAGCCAAGATAATCTGTTATTTTCTCACCTATTTGGAACCCAGGCAACTAAGAGTTAAATCAGCAAAAGGCATGGAAGTAGTGACTATTATATATATCTCAATTTCAGCCAGATGCCGATGATTTTTAGATTAGCTTTACAGTAATATTGAAAATTTTTTTCACCTTTTTTCATGAATGCACCCGAGAAACTTCATTGCTGTTAAAGTTGGTCAGAAAAGGGGGCAGCCTGTTTTATTCTACTGATTTAGTTATTCTTACTATGGAGTGAGAAAAAAGTCCTTGAGAGGTCTCTAAAAATTAGTGTGTGATGAATTTTATGAAGACTGGTCACCTTTTTATAGTGGTCTTTATCTCTGCCTTGATGGGATTTGTTTCTGGACCAGAAGCCCAGTTTCTCAGATACTGCCTAACCCGTGGCGTGTGTGTGCTCACAATGAATGAATGACCTGAGTCCGCCCTGAGTTTGCACCTAGGGTGTGGGGGTGATTGATATGACAGAGCTGGCATATTATTAAGGGGCTGTCATATGTCTAATGGGTTAGGTTATTGGAGAAATTTTCACCATTGTATCTGAGAGGTTAAATACTCGTTATCTTCTGAGGATACTGTTGAAAGAAGTCTGGCCAAGTTCTGTTAGTGAAGCATCCATGCTTGCCTCATGTGTCACTTTTTTGTTCTTGGTTTTTCTTGGTCGTACAGAAAGCTACTGTAGGATTTATCTTTAGTGGTAGCCAGGAGGCTATAGTCCTCTGGCATACTTTAAGCATTCTTGATAACTTCAGGTGTGTGTGTTGCCTTACCTAGGACTCAGCAGTAGGCCCTGCTCGCTACTCTGCTGCAAGGAAGAGGCCACTTCTTGGTATTTTAGCCTCTTTTTCTCTATTGCTTTACTCAAAATTGTACCTTCGGAGCATCACCTTTTCATCTCTGGTGTCCTTTCCATTGATTTAAGAAAAATCTGAGATGTGAGTGGCAAAAAGTGGTATTTGGATGTAAAGGTAAATATTTCAGAATAGAAATACAATGGAATTTCCTAGAAATGAATTTTCCTTAACAGTGATTTAAGTTGAGGTAAATGGGCTTAAATGTTACTATAAAAAGTTCCTTAGCTCTGCTGCTGGAGACATCATTAAGGGTTAGAGTGCATTCCTAACATACTCTGAAATACTGTTGTTAGCATTAAAGCCAGTAGACTGTAAACACAGGACGTTTGGTATGACCAGCAGGGAGAGAAGGTATTCATCCTAAGGATGACTGAAGTTCCTTTTTCATAGTAGAGGTGATGCGGGACTTCCACATCTTGCTCATGTTGTCTGTGGTGACTACTTTGAAATTCTCATCTTGGCTGTCCTCTGAACCTTCAAGGGGAAGAAGAACCTAAAGTGAAGGGAGGCTGAGATTGTGGGTCCCTGGGAAAATGACTCTACTTCGTAGAATATGAATGTGCTCAAAAGAGGTATTAACAAGCTTTCTGAATTCTATAATAAAAGGCCAGCCAGAGCAGGTAAGCAGAGATCATAGGCTTGGAGCTGTGTCCTAAGTTGTGTACAATATATGGAGGATCATTGCTGAGTGAGGAAGAAGCCCAGGCTTTTCTAGGAAGTACAAGTGACAGTGTGAATAAAAACACTTTTGAATTGTTCAAACATGGGTCTCAGGTTATAATTAATTGGTCAGCTAATGGTTTTTTAAGGAAATTTACTGAATTTGAACTGAAGAGACAGCTGAATCCTTTTGTTATCTTTGAATAGGGAAAAAACAGCTTTCTCACTCAATACTTGAGGTAATTCGCTGGAAAAAGTTGTTCTGACTCTTACAGGCTTTTTCTCAGTATCCATCTTTCTGTACTTTGTAGCATTTGAAACACGGACCACCCCCACCTCTTGAAACCTTTTTATCTCTTGGCTTCCAGGGCATTTAACACTCATTACTCCTCTCCTGAGCATTTCTCTGCCTTAGGCCAAGTTCTAATGTGAAGCATCCATGCTTGCTTCTTATTTTTCATAAAGGTAGGGATTCCCGGAGATCCTTCCCTTGAACTCTCTCAGAGCTTTCCTGGGTACTTAATTTGTTTGTTTGTTTGTTTTTTTAGTGAGGTATAATATTATAAGGTATTTGATTTTGAAGCTTTTCTCT